GCCTGGACCACCAAGCTAGCAAGGTTGGGGACCGCTGATCTAGCGAAATCAAATAAATCTTTCTTGGACCTCCAAAATGTAGACGGCTGCGTCGCCCAAAGAATAGACAGGGAAGTGGGTGGCCAACTCATGTTTCCCCACCCCCCACCCCAAGGGAACACAGAAGAGAAAACATCCCAGGACAGAAATAATTTAAAAGGTTACCTACCCCCCAAAGTGGAAAAACGTCTATTAACACCGGCAAAAAATAAAATAAAAAATACTGAACTTCCTTTCTTCGGCTAAAGCCATCGGTCTCCTTAGCCAGACAACAATTCATTCGTTCTAACTGAGGTGAGTTTCTACATATAGGTATATATTATTCTAGAACGGAAGGGGGGGCTGAACCACGGGCCGCAGTCCGCTACCAGGCCGTGTCCTGTTCAGAACCGAGCGGATACACGTAACATCCTTTGTGCGAGGGGCTGATGTGCGTGCCCGCCGGTCGCAAGAAAGGAGCTGCGCTAACGGAGACAATCCCACCCACTCCCCCGGTCCGTAAAACCGTAAAGGCCGGAGACCGCAGCTCTAGACTATTCAATAACTGGCCAACCTCCGTTGTGTAGGGCTTGTTCCCCTTCCAAATCTTCTCCTGCCCGAGCAAATGGGTGTCGGCAGTTTGAGCCGTGGCTACCATGGCCGTCCGTCCAGGAGGCTTCAGCACTGGCGTCTCCACCACCCCTTTTACGTCCAGGAGCAGCTAAGTCTCTACACAGGGTCCTTGGGAGGAGGAATTGTCGTTCTCAGATTCCAACTCTTTGCGGCGTTCACTGAATCCCTAGGGAGAAACCATGCACGCCAAGTGTTTGCGCTCAGCCTTGACCAGCGTGGCGGCTTCATGGCCGGCCGGCTGCCGTCCCTCCTCCGGCCTCAAGCTGCCCTCTTCTGCCTCCTGGAAGAACATCTCGTACTTGTCCAAATAAGGGGGTCTCTCCGGCAAGAGGTAATAGTGAGTGGAGCTGATTTTTTTGCCGTTTTCGATGATGGGCAGGATACAGGGCACCTTGTGGGCCGAACCTTCGCTGTGGTGCCTCTGGAGAGCTTTGCTGCTGACGTACTTCGGATCCGGGGCGAAACTCTGCGTCGGGGGCATGACCCCGTGGAGATACGCCGGCAACATTTTGGGACTCGGCGTCCGGGAATGGCTCCAGGGCAGAGGTTCCCGCGGAGGCACCTTGGGAGGTTTGTCCTCATCACTATACGCACCGGAGGTCACTTCGGCCGACCACCTCCGATGGTCGGGTTTGAGGGGACGAGGAGGCAGAGGTACCCTGGGGGGAACCTCGGGCTTGTCGTCGTCGGAGCTGGGAGACGAGCGACAGAGGTGGGTGGAGACTCTGATTGATGGTTTGTTGAAGGACCCAGCAGGGCCGGAATGGGAGCGGCGCAACCGGCGGTGAGGTTGTTGTGGAGGGGGAAGGGGAGGACAGGCGTTCTCCGGGCAGCCGGCCTGTTGCGGCTTCACCTCTGCCGGAGCGTCGAAGTAGGCGTAGTTAATCTGGCCGCAGCCCCTGAAACTTCGCTGACCCTGGGCCAACAGCTTAAACCCAGGACTCGCGCAGCTCTCCAGCAAAAACTCAGTGTCCGAAGTGGTCAGGAACTCCACTTCTCGGTCCACTTCGTCGTGCAGGAAGTTTTCGGTGACGGGCAGAGGCGGGAGCGGACGGGCGCTTCGCTCCGCCGAAGACAGGGGAAGGGAGAGGAGTGGCCCGCTCTTCCCCGGGATTGGAGAAGGCGTCTCCTCGGCGTTCCGGCTGATGGTCAGAGACAGTCCGCCGAAGCCGGAAACGAGGCGGTCTTCGGAGGTGGAAGGAGCAGGGGAGTGAAGGAGAGAAGGGCTGGCTCTGAAGAGGAAGCTCGGACCACCGTCTGGATCAGGACAGGAGACCTGGCCTAGGAGGAAAGGGGATATCTTGGGATAAATAATAGAATTTTGGAGGATTGGAAACACTAAGGACTCCACGGGAAACTTCTGTGTAGAGTTTGTCAGGGTTCCAACGGACGCCCTCATCAAACCATGAGCCTCAAAGCCAACAGGTTGACAGAGTTCCCCAATTTTTTCGGCTTTGCGGACCGGCCAGTTGGGTGGGTGTGGAGGAAGGGGTGGTTCCTCATAAGCAGTGGGTTTGCGTGGAACCATCCCCTCTCCCCGTCCACCCCCCGTCAGGACCCAGGGGTGAGATTCAAATTTCTTAACTGGTTCTGTGGGTGTGGCCTAATTTGTGGGGTGGGTGTGTGGCTTGGTGTTCACGTGACTAGCTGGGCATGGTTTGTATGTAAATATTGTAAATATTTATGTAAATATTGAATTTTTTATTTAAAAAAAAAAAGAACAGCTTTTACCCCAAATCAGGCAAAGCAGGCAGGCAGATTTGAGTTGCTTGCAGAATCACCGATTCATTCAGAGATCTACCTTTCTGCCATCTGCTGCCTGAGTCTGTCACATAAAATTTGCTTGCACAATGCAGGCAAGTTGGATGGTGCGCATGCGAGATACGGAGTGACTGGGTGGGGCAGGGAGGGGTGGGCAGGGACTGGCAATTTGCCAGTTCTCCAAACTGCACAGAATGGTAACAACCGGTTCTGAAGAACTGGTCCAAACTGGTAAAATCCCACCCCTCCCGGGACCCCTGCGCTACAGGGCGAGCTAAGAGAAGAGGAATGCAAAGGCCTTCCGCGCAGCGGAGACCCCCGAAAGCAGGGATCGAATGAGAAACGGGACAACTTTCGGGGGTTACCTACCGACGGAGGTCAGAGGAGGCGGTCCTGGGTTCAAGTTGCAAGCCATTGCTACCGAGTCCACGTGGAAGAAAGGGCTGGGTTGTAAGAGAAAAGGGAGGAGGGGGGTTTAAAAAAAAAACATCCATAAATGAAACAGGAAGAAGTACCAAGGGTCTCGCACGCCGGTGTGTCCAAGACCCCGCGCGCTGCCTCAACACCCCCTCCCTGTCCCAGCACTCACTTGGCAAGCTGGCCGTTGTGGCGACGGCAACAGGCCTCCAGGCTTCCATTACGGAGAAAGCCCGGGTTCAAGGAGAGGTTGACCTCCTGGGCCGCAATGCCTGTGGTGGACATGGCCCCGCTGGGCTTTTCAGGAGGAGGGGTCCATGGTCCTCAGCCAGCCCCTTCGCTCCCTGGGAAAGGAGGAAGAAGGGAGGGTAAGAAGGGCGGCAGAGGACGAAGGAGAAGCCACGAGATCAGCTCCTTTGGAAGGAGCCAGGAACGATGTCAATCAATCAATCAATCAGAATAGAGCTTTCTTTCTCTCCTTCCTTTTCCTTCCTCCCTCCCTCCCAACCTTCCTTCCTTTTTCTCTTTTCTTTCATTTTCTTTTCTTTCTTTTTTTTCTCTGTCTTTCTCTCTCTCTTTTCCTTTTCTTTCCTTCCCTTCCCTTCCTTTCCTTCCTTCTTTCTCTCTTTCTCTTTTTCTTTCCTTTTTTCTTCTCTCTTTTTTCTCCATCTTTCTCTCTTTCTTTCCTCCTTTCCTTCCTTCCTTTTTTCTTTCTCTTTCCTTTCTCTTTTTTCTCTTTCCTTTCTTTCTCTTTCTTTCTCTTTTCCTTTTACTCTTTCCTTTTTTCTTTCTTTTTGTTCTCTTTTTTTCTGATTTTCTCTTCCTTTTCTTTCTTTCACTTTTTCCTTCTCTTTCTCTCTTTCTTTTCATTTACTTTCTTTCTTTTTCCTTCTTTCCTCCTCTTTCTTTCTTTCCTCCTTTCCTTCCTTACTTTTTATTTTTGTTTCTCTTTCTCTTTCCTTTCTCTCTCTTTCCTTTCCTGTCCCTAAAAACAAAAGGCCCGTGGGCCCCACCCTCCCTCCCGGCCTCAGTTTCTCCAACGGGAACCTGGATTTCCCTCCCGGGCGTATGGGAGGAAGCCAGGCTAGGACAGGAAATGGGTGGCGGTGCCCTTCCTGTCGGGAGAAACACCCCCTGCGCCTAATAACAACTTGTGAAAGGTGTGCTATTAGTGAAAGGAAGTCGTTGCCATAATGAAGGGCTGGAGGGGAAGAGCCCAGCGAGGGAGGGGACGAATGCCCAGGACAGAGGCTGAATCACCCAGCCTGGGGGAGGACGACACCCCCCACCCCCCCCCCGAAGGCTGGAGGAGAAGCAGCAGCCACGGAGGGAAGCGAACCAAGGAGAGAAGCCGCGGAGAACGGTGGAGCCATTTTCTGGGCAGGGAGAATAACCAGAGGAACGACTTGCCACCAGAAGCTGTGGGTGGCTCCGTCACCGGAGGCTTTTCAGAAGAGGTCGGACAACCGTTTGACCGGAATGGTTCTGTGGCCTCCTGCTTGAGCAAGGGGTCGGACTAGAGGACCTCCGGGGTCCCTTCCAGCTCTATCCCGATTGAACAGGTCTAGGGTCTCCTGCATGAGCAAGGGGTCAGGCTAGAAGACCTCCGGGGTCCCTCCCAGCTCTATCCCGATTGAACAGGTCTAGGGTCTCCTGCTTGAGCAA